AAGGGGGGGAGGAAGCGGGGGAGAGATGGGGAGGGCGACGAGGACGAGGGAGGGGAAGGCGGGAGGGAGGCAGGGGGCAAACCCTTGAAGGCCGGCCAGGGCGCGTTGAAGAGGGGGGGGGTCGTGGGAGGACGGGAGGGAGAGGACAAGGGCGACGCCCGGGGCGCTTCTGATGTGAATGCGCCAGACGAGATTTTTTAGAGGGCCGAGAGCGAAGGGCTATATTCCGATGATCATCGGAGAAGAAATGGCCCCACCCGCGTAAAGGGATGGCTCTCATGTTGACGACAGTCTAACATCATGTCTCATTTTATTTTTTTTGCACTCTCGTCGAAATGAAGCCACAAATTGCTCGACTTGCACCGCACGCACATGTGAACTTCACTACTTACTAATTCTTATGTTTTCAGTCACCCCCAAGTGCAGGGATCGCTCAAAACGGTCATATGTTTGCCAATTTCGATTCTCTTTTCTTGCAGCCCCTTTCCGCATCTGTCCCGATCTCCACGTTACTTCTAGAGATTCGGCTTTAGACAACACGAAGAGACAGCTGCGTTCCGAAACACCGAAACCCCAACTCTGTTCTGGTCCTCCTCCTGCATCCTCGTTCCGACACAGGCAAGCCCTCCTCCACTTTCACCGTCAGTGGAGCGATATCATTCCTATCTCCGAGGCTGCTCCTCCTTTCTTGTTTTTAGATTTTGTTCGGTAGCGTATTCATATCCCATATGTACACAAATGTGACGGCCAGCAACGGCAACAAAGGCCAGGGACGGAAAGGCGTCTCCTTCGAGACCAAACCGCAAACAAGCATACTGTCGCTAAGCTCGCTAGCCCTGCGGCAAAACTCCATTCTATACATGCGACAGTGAGAGCAATGCGTCAAGAATGCTTAATAGCAGTCGTGCCTCTCTCGTCTTTTTCTGTTTTCTTGGCGGTTCCTCGCCACTTTCCTGCATACCACAAACCCGTGCCTCCATGTGCCTCTAGGTCATTGACTCATGTACCTTACTAAATTTCTCGTCAGCTTTTTTCTTCTTCTTATCTCTATAGTGTGCGCACTCCATCAAAATCCCACGGTATCAATATCGCCGTGGCGCACGCCCCTGCAGGGTGACGCTAACCGCTCAAGCCTCCCTGGCTGAAGACCGAGGCCGCCGACGCTACGCGCGCCATATTTCCCGGCTGCACGCCTTTCGTGCTCTTATCCGCCTTCTTTCCCGCTTTTCCCTCCCCGGTTTTCTTCTCCTCTTTCTCCGCCTCCATGCTCTTCTCTGCCCTCCAACCCTTGTACCAATCGACAGTCCTCGCGATCCCTTCTTCGAACGACACCTTGGGCTGATAACCCAGCAGCTCTTGGGCTTTGCTGATGTTCGCGCACGTCCTAGGCACATCCCCCGGCTGATCCGGCAGGACTTTGATCACCGCCGCTTTTCCCACGTTTTTCTCCACCAGGCGGATAAAGTCCGACAAGCGGTACGGCGAGCCGTTGCCCAGGTTGAAAATCTGGTAGCCCAACGGCCGGTCCAGGGCACGCACCACGCCGTCGACGATGTCGTCGATGTAGGTGTAGTCCCGGGAGGAGGATCCGTCTCCAAACTGCTGGATCTCCAGCCCGCGGGAGACGCGGTCCACGAACTTGAAGGGCGCCATGTCGGGCCGGCCCCGGGGGCCGTACACCGTGAAGAAGCGCAAGCCGGTCACGTTCATCTTGTAGAGCGAGTGGTAGGTGTGGGTCATGAGCTCGCAGGCCTTCTTGGTGGCCGCGTAGGGAGAGACCGGGTTGTCCACGTAGTCGTCCTCGCCGAACTCCTCCAGGCTCGACCCCCCATACACCGAGCTGCTCGACGCCCACACGAAGCAGTCGTTGCCGTGGATGCGCGCCAGTTCCAGCAAGCGCGTGGTCCCGAGCATGTTGCTGTGGATGTAGATGAAAGGATCATCGATGGACGGCCGCACCCCAGCACGCGCCGCCATGTGCACCACGTGACGGGGCCGCTCTGTGATGAAGAGTTGTTCCATCGCATGCGCGTCGCATATGTCCGCCTCCACCACCCGCAAACGCGCCGACCCATGCTTGGCCAGGAGGTGGGCGACGTTGGCGCGCTTCAAGGAGGTGTCGTAGTAGTCGTTGAACTCGTCCACCACGACGACGGCGTCCCCGCGGCTCAAGAGATGGTCCGCCACGTGGCTACCTACGAATCCGGCCCCGCCCGTGACCAGGACTTTCTTCCCGCCCTCCACGGGAGGAGCGAGCAGAGAACCACGGTCCACACTCAAGAAGGAGTCAGCGTGTCGCTGCAGGTGGTCGGGCGTCTCGTCCGTGGCGAGCGAGGAGGTGTCCTCTTCGTCGCTGTCGTCTGTGGTGGTGGGGACCAGATCGGAGCCCGATGTCCGGGACTGATCGTCGTTCTCTTCCCCAACATTCTCTGCTTTGTCTGCGCGGCTTGTGGCTGCCGAGAAAGCAGGAGAGCTGCGCCGGTTTCCCCCCTCGCCCGTGTCAGAGGCCCCTGAGGCTTGCTGGGTCGAGGCGAGGCCGTTGCAGGACCCCACTACCTCGAGTTTACGAAGAGATTCTGCTCGTAAAGGCATGGGGATGCTTGTGACATCAGGCACCAGTAGGGCTGTGTCCATGTCGGAGCTGCTGTCGTGCTGCTGACGTTGATGTACGTATTCGTACGTCATATTTCGGTCGCTTGAAAAGAAGGTAAAAAGGGCTTGCTGCTTTTGCTGCCTCTGGAACGAGTACCGAACCTAGACGGTTGTACCCCCGTGTACTTGACTGTGATGGAAGGCGGCCTTGGGGCCGGTAAGGTGCACTTGGCTCAAGAAGTGGCTGGCTAGGACAGCGAGCTCGACGAGAGAGGCAGAGTGCAAAAACCCAGTTAGGGTGCGGTGAGTCGAGCACGAGGATGCGGCGGTGATGAGAGACGTGGTGCTAGGTGATGTGCAAAACAAAGCCCTCGACTAGTTCCCGTAAGTGAACGGGAGCCAAGAGATTCGTTTCTATAAAGTGCTTGCGTGGAGGTTGCTTTCCGCCTGACAGGAGGTGCAAATCTTGTGCGCGAGAAAGATGTGACGCGCGGAGCCGGGCGCTTCGATTAAATGAAGCGGGGTTTGGTGAGCTCTTAAAACACTGTAGATTGGTGTGTAAGTACGCAAGGACGGGGTATTAGTCAGTGAGGTTGAGTCAGGACAAACTAAGCAATGCTGCAATGTGTCGTCCACAGCAACGCAATTTGTGAACGCTACGCTATGCCAAGCCGCCGTCATTGACACATTGTTCGCAGTTTGGTCACTATCTAAGAGGTGGGATACGAAGCAAAGCCACAGGGCATCAATAGTTAGGTGAAAGACAGGTGAAAAGGCTCGCGAACAAGAAACGAGCGGCCCCGTGGCATCGAAGTGCTGATGAAAGGATCGCAAACGTCATCGTTGTGGAAAAAACTTCCTAAGACCAGTGCGGGCATAGAAGAACCACTTCACCGCGGCGAATATACAGTGCGAAGAAATATGACAAAAGAACGTTGATTGACATGTGAAATCCGACAGATTCCCACCAGGAGGAATGCCGACTGATTCAGACATGGAGCAACTGCAAAGAAAAGCGGGCGTGGCCGAGGAGAGGAAGACGATGATCCTTGGCACAGCCCGGAGTTTTCTCGCCCTCGTTAGCCACCACGTACACACCGGCACACTCACAAAGGACCTAACTATGGTTGTGTACATCTCTTACGGTGCATGGGAGCCCTGAGATGGCTTAGACACGCGTGAAATTGCATTTGGCCACCTCACCAGGCCTGGGCAAGTGGAGGAAAAGATCAGTGACGTGGTGTTAGCTCTCGCTCATAAGCGGGAGCAACAGCTCGTTCACGAGGCCACAATAACAAGGGATCACACCACGTAGTTCCGGCAAACGACCATAGCGCGATGTATAGAGCAGCTCAATAGAGCGAAAAGCTTTTGCGGTGTGGCCCGTGAAATGTTGACGGGTGACTTGGGGAGCTTTAGTTGCTTTGAGTCAAGAGGCAGTGCGACTGCTTGACCCTTCAAAGGCAATGGGCCGACGAATGCCGCGTACACTGTGAAATTTATCCTTTATTCGCGTTCCCGTATTCCAACTTCCTACAACGCCACCTTCTTTTGCGATCATGTTTGATGTAATGAAAAAGTGGATATGTTTTACAAACACGGCATTTCAGCCTCCCAACCTGGGTTGCCGTCGACTGGTTTCGTGAAAAGTCAATTCAATCGACCTGCCTGTATCCCCGGGAAATAACCCATATGTTCGTTAGCTTTTATTTCTTTCAGCGAGAGCATAGGGGCTCTCTTCGCTGCTATACTTCCCCTCTCTGTCACTCTTCCGCCACTGTCACTTTGCCGTTCAAACCATTGTGCTCCTCCCCTCTATCTTCCTCGCCTTCGTGCCCATGAAGCACTCCAAACAATCGATCCCTTTCGTCGAGCAACTCCACGTAAGACAGCTGCAATTGCTCTTCCCGCTTGGCCACACTGTCTGCCTGCGCATTTACCTCGGCCACGCGTGTCACAAGCGCCTTCTCTTCCATGGCCTTCAGCCTGCGAAAACATCCCACCTCCAAACGCATCTCATCTATCTGGTCTAGGGCCTCGCTCACACCGTGCAACAACGCTGTTGCGCGTTTCACATAGCCACCAGTGGCCAGATTTAAGCGTGTATCGAGTTTGCTCGCCCTTTTCCCAACCTTCTCCACGTGACCGGCCAAGGTATTGAATTCGTGGACAACTGCGGCCAGCCGATCCTGCTTGCTGGCGCCTGTCAGCCTCCCAAATGCCTGGCGGCCAGGAAAGTACGCAAGATCGTTGTATCCTTTCAGCCAGTCTCGCTCCAATGCCACTGGGCACATGTCCCCCTGCGAGTCGACACCCGCCCCTTCGCCCTTTCCACTTTCCTCGCTTCCACCCTCCCCTCCGTAAGAATCAACTGCCTTTCGGAGCTTCGCCGCTTCTTCTGCCACAAGATCACGCGCAGTGCTCAACATTTGCGGTGGTATGATGGGAAGGACCCCCCTGTCCCCGTCTGTTCCCTTACTGCTTCTTCCATTTCCTTTCCCCCCCGCCTCTCTGACCGGATACTTGGCCGCCTCCGCGCGCAACACAGCCAACAATTCTTGCTGCACCATCGCGTCCGCGGCCGCTATCTCGTCAGCCTCGGCTGTCGCGGCCCGGACCCGAGATGCGAACATGTCCGGGTCCACAATTCGTGGCCGGGGCAGCCCCCGCTTCAAGACCGCGGACCGTCGTGCCAGCTCCGCTTCTTCCACCGCCAATTTCTTGGCCGCCATGCGCGCGTCCCGGTCCGCCGCGTCCTCCTCCTTCCCCACGTCCGTCACTCTCTCCTCCTCCTCCTCCATCGTCGGCACCGAGATCTCGTACGTGTACTGGGCCTCCGGCAAGCTCCTCAAGCCCTCCGCCAGCTGAGCCCGGAGCGCCTTCTGCCGGCGCTTCTCACTCATCACCATCAACTGCTGCTGCTCCTCCGAGCCCCCCATTTGATTCAACCCCAACTCGTCTCGCATCGGCGTCGCCCCACCGGCCGCGTGGGCCCGGGACTTGATCGAAGCCACCGAGGACCCGCCCACCCGTCCCGACGAGAGCGGCGTCCGCCCCCCCTCCTCGTTCCTCGCCGTCATCGGCGTCATTCCGCCCCCGGGAGTCATGCCTCCACCACCTAAACCCCGCGGCTCGTGCCCCTCAAAACCCGTCCCTCCCTCCAACCGGCTCATAACCGCCTCCCCCCCCTGAAGCGGGGTCTCGGCCGCCCGCATCGCCAGCAAGTTCCTCGCCTCCTGCATGACCACATCCTGCCCCGGGGCCGTGCTCGGTGTCCGCATGGGCGTGGCCAACGGGGTAGCCCGGTCCCGGTAGTCCCCCAAAAGCCCCGCCGTCGCCCCTCCCCCCCCCCCACCGGCGGCCGCCTGCGCCCCCACCTTCACGATCTCTTCCAGGTCCCTGTCCGTCACTTGGGGGGCCGGGAGGGAGAGTGGGACGCGCCGTCGGATCGAAGCCGGGTCGTTCAACTGATTGAGCGCTTGCACCATCTGAGGCAGGTTCTCCTGCACGAGCTTCTTGTGCCGTTTCTTGTCTTGGTTCCGAAGCCGGGACTCCTCCTCGTCCCTGCGCTCGTCCTCCATCTTATCTACACGCAGCGCCTCAAATCGCGGGTCCAGAGCCTGCTTCTCGCCCTCCAATTTCTCCGCCCCTGTCGCGTAAAAGCCGGCGGGCGCCGTGCGCTGGAAAGGGATCTCACGCCCGTAGTCAATGTACTTACGCTTCTTCTCACGCATTTTCAATTCCAAACCAGCCGCTTTCAGCTCTCGCCGCTTCTGCAGCGATGCTAATCGCTTCGCCTCCATCAACATCTTCTCGCGCGCCTTTCGTTTCGCCTTTTTCCCTTTGGTGTTGGCGAGGCGCGCCCGGGCTTCCGAAAGCATTTCCTTCTCGTCCTCGTCCATGTCGATCGGGTCCGGTCGTGCCGGCTTTGTCTCAGGCGCCGTGTCAATTTCTCCCGGGCGGAGCTTCCGAGGATCGTCCTTGATCTCCCCTGCGTCCATATCCCCCGTCTTCTGCTGGGCAGCATCTAAGAGACGCTCGTAGTGTTCCAGGCACTGCGCAGGCGTCCGGCCCACGATGGGGGCGATGGTCCGCCATTGCGCAGGCAGGATCTTGGCCAAGTGCAGAAGTTTCTCTTCTTCTTCGCGCGTCCACTCCGTTTTTTTGATGGACGGATCCAACCATTCGTACCACCGCGCCTTGCATTGAGCTGCGGACTTGCGATTGAGCAACGACGCGACGCGAGGCCATTGATTCAGGCCATATTTCATGACCGCGGCCTTCAGAATCTCATCTTCACTGTTTTTCCAAACCCCACCTTTGACCATAATACGGATGCCCATTTTTCCTGCGACCTACGACGCGGAACAGCAGACAAGCTGTACCGGAGAAGAAAAAGTATGGTGAAGGGTGCGAGCTCTGTGCGTTGACGGACAGCTCAGGCACAAGACAGAAGGAAACCTGGACCCAGGCGACCTGATGCATGCAAGGAAGATCAGGATGTGTAAAAAGGGAGAGAATATTTAGGACCATGATGGAAAGGGAACGAACGGGCTCCTGCCGGGGGGACACTTCCGCCTCCGGCCTTCGGAACCATGTTGCGAAGACAAGCGCGCGACGCGATAAAAAATCGCATTTCATTTTCACACGCACACAAGGAGAGGCTATCAGACTAGAGAAACAAACTGAATACAAGGGCGTGCACCCGTCCTCCTGTCCACCACTGCCAGGGCGCCACCTGGGGTTTGGGTGCTCGGGAGCCAGGCAATCGAGGGGTCCTTTTCCATCATACGAACCGCGTCATCGGTCTCGAGGGAGCACGCACAGAGGCCCAAGAAATCGACCCTGCTGCTTTTCCCCCCGAATGGTAGGGGCCAGGGCGACCGTATCTCATTGAATAGATAGCGACTTTTTTTTTCCAAATTATAATGGTATCGTGGGAGCAGTAATGCCGGTTCTGCAGGCGATCAAAGGTATGTCTTATTCGGGGAGCCGTGCCCGCCGGCCTCGCGTTGCTGGTGGTTTTCTAGACTCGGTCACTGGGCGGGAAAAACAGCTCCTGAGCGACATATTTTCATGATAGAGAGAGAGCACTTCAGCCCATCGCATGGTCTGTTTCATTCGAATAGGGTCCCGGGAAAAATGAAGGAATTGACAGTGGCTGCCTTGTTGAACACATGTAAAGACTACGAAAAGTTCCCTACGTTCCATCTCTTCACGTTTGTTATGCTGTCACGTAGACAATTAATTCTTAAAGCTAGCATGGTCAGCAGACAGTGCTATATATGCGAGTCCATATTGTCAAGTCATGATATTACAGAGTAGTACGCGCGAAATTGCATCCTACAGCATTGCTATTATACTTAGCCCCTATTAATATGAATGATCCCACTGGCGATACACTCACCTCCACCCTCGCCTCCCTCTTCGGATTTTGGTAGCTAGGCATAAGTGAGCGCGTCTGAAAGCCACTCGACGGCTATGGCGGCATCCTCTCGGCGCGATGTGATTCTCAATGTCTACGAGCTGACGGATGAGCAGGGGACGGGCTCATGGATGCGACGAGTAGGGCTAGGGGCGTGGCATACTGGCGTGGAGGTTCGTTTCAAGCTGGGGAAAATACCTGTAATGCTTACATCTTTGGGAACGGATGGCAGGAAACAGCTTTTTCTGTTTTGTGGAGCTGACGTCTCATGGTCATAATTTGTATTGAAACGAAGGTTGGCGGCGTAGAGTACACATTCGCCCAAAACGGAGTCTTTTTCCACGTTCCCAAGACCCCTCTGGTTGCGAGTGGCCAGGTAGTAAGCTTGAAGGAGAGCATAGTCATGGGCGAGCATGTCGGAAGCGCCAACGAGGTAAAGCGTTCATTAAATTTGAGAAGGGTGGATACCTTGCGCACCCAGTCATTCCATTTTGTTAGCGACATGTCGACGGTTCTCATTGGAAATTAACATGTTGACAGGTACATGGCATTATTAACAAACTGCGAGAAGAGTTTGCGGCCGGTGCCTATCATGTAAGTCTAAGGACGCAGTCCGAGGTCGTGTTTGTGGGTGTATAGGTTGAGGATGATAGCAGAAAAGAAAGGGAGAGAAGGCGGAGGGAATTCAAGAAGAAAAAAAAATGATTTGATGGTACTCTACGCCGTGACCTCTCCTCTGCAGGTGACGAGGAAAAATTGCAACCACTACAGCGACGCGCTCTGTCAGAGACTGGTGGGGGCTTCCGTTCCCGCTTGGGTGAACCGCCCCGCGCGCATTGGCTCTATCTTTTCTTTCGGTGGCAACAAGGACAAAGCGAAAGAAAAGACTAGAACAGAAAAAGTTAGTGCACGCACAAAGGCAGAGAACGCCGCGGCGAAAAAGAAGAAGGAGCTCACACAGGATCAGAAGAATCGACTTGCGGCAATAAGACGGACCTCGTCGAGCTCATGAGCTCGTCATGACACAGACGCTTGTGGATACTTGCACCATGTACAGAAGTAAAAGGGAGCGGGTGGGGTGAAATATTGTGATTTTTCTACGGCTGTAGGTTGTCCTGGAAAAGCACGAAAGGTAACGTAATACAATGCTACTGTAAGAGAAAATAATATCAGGTCGTTGGTCCTGAAGCCTTTCAGGCTATTTTCCATGATGCTTTCTACCTAATGTTGAAAATAGCAGAACCACCTTTCCATGTATAAATACCAATGTTGCATGCGGCAAAGCCATCGGTCAGGCGAGAGCCATCCTACAGAAAACAGTGCGGTCTACTACCGGACTTTAAGGCAATCCCTAACGGCTGACGGGGTTCTCATCCTCCTCGAATATACAGCCATGATTCCTCGGTGCGAGAATGTTACGCTCTGCTCCTTTCTGGTATCTTACCTTCAATCCCCCCTCCACGACTTTGCTCCGTTTTTGATTGTCCTTGAGGTCCCTCCCCTTTTCTTGGCGATAGCGACGCGGCTTGGCGAGGACGATGGGGCTTATCTTTATAAACGGGTACTGGTCATCCAGGTAGGCAGCAACCTACAGGTGGCGGATGTCGAGCAGCGTGAGAAGCATCACTTTCTTGTCTGGGTGCTGTGGTTACAAAAATATTTTAATTGGCTTTGCCTTCTCCAGGCGCCACAAGAATCATTCCTATCTCTCCCCTCGCACCTGGTTCGCATTTGTCTTCACCTCGGCCAAGCTCCTTTGCATGATCCCGTCCACTTGCTCCGTGGCCACGTACAGGACGTTTTTCCACCGTTCCCGCACCAGGCTCCAGTCAAGACCCTCCGACACCAGCACCTCCTCGTGCTCCTCCAAAAGCTCCCGCATGACCTTGCAATTGGGCAGCCAGAACTCCCGGACCCTGGCGGTGCGGCGCAGGAAGGGGATTGTGTCGGTGACGAGGCGGCCGGAGCCCCAACGCTGACTGGCCCAGTGCTCGGGGATGTAGAAATAGTCGAATATGACCTTCACGTGCGAGGTTGTGAAAGGCGCGCGGGATGAGGCGCAAAAAAAAAGGAAACGCTGTAGTCGAGGGGAAAACCTGAAGAGTCACATTACACAGGTCACGGACCTGGCGTATCTCCAAGCCATGTGGAAACCGTCGTGTGAAGGCCTCCTGAAATCGACGGTGGTCGAAATTCGATTGCAGATGCCGTCCCATTACGCCCAAGGACTCATCGTGGGATAGATCACAGCTGTACACTTCCCATCCGTTGCTCTCCAGCTGCACAAGGCGCAAGCGATCGCGCCACACCTGACCGAAATCCTTTTCTGGAACTGCATCCTGAACAAGCACGCAAGACTTTAGTAGTGAGACAATGGGGCTGATTTTTCGATGGAAAGATATTCTATATATACGTGCTTGGGAATGCACGATTGTCGTGCACGGACGCTCACCTCTCTGGCGTAGATCATGCTTAAGCACAGCACATTGCCTTTACTTGCTTCTTTACGGCCGAGTCTCTGAAAAGGAGCGGCATTGGAGCTTGTCCTTGATCGCGTTGTTCGCGTCATATTGAAGATCTCTTCATTGACAGACCACCTCTACCTGATCGCAATGAGGAAGTCAGGATGACAGGGACATGCCTACACTTGTTCCTCACAGGCATGAAGAGGGGCAGAAATTCGGGCCACGTACTGTCCGGCCATTAAGGGTGGGACGCCATATGCTGAAGTTACTGAAAGAGGCTAGTTTAACAGGTTTTTCGATGGAATGTCTATAGCGCTCCTGATGTCGTCGACACGTACACTTCTGCGCGCTCATCCTTACGGACTTCTTGATGACAAGAAAGATGACATACAAACGACAATTTCTGTCACTCTATGTAGTGCACACAAACAAAAAGAAAAGTGCCGAAACGGACTGCGCTTGACCAACAAAGTCTCTCCGGCGTATGGATCAAGACTGGATGCGAGCGACAAAGCTGGGGCGCATTGCTCGCCAAATGCGAAGTTAGCGAGGAGGTGTTTTGGTTACTGGACACCATTATTAGGGTGGTATGTGTGTGTGTGTATTGGGGGGTGTCGCTTTTTAGACCCCGTGACTACGGACCCCGCGAGAAAACAAATTGACCAAGGGAACACGCGCGCGAGAAATGAGGGTGTACGAGACCTTCAGAACATGAATAGTTCTCGGGAGGCCAACCGACGATCGAAGAATGACATGGATCGATTGAATTAAAACTGTATTTCGACTCCACGTGAGCCTCCCTTTCTCTGGACTCTCTTGCTTGATATTTGTCGGCTTTCTGTCGCCCCATCGAGCCGTAGAAATCAGGCCCACGAACA